TTTTTTTTTTTATTTTTTTTTTTTTTTTTTTTTTTTTTTTAATTTTTTTTTTTTTTTTTTTTTCTGTATTTTATCATATTTCTCTCTATATATGTATGTATGTATTGACATAAATCAAAGAAAAAGTTTTTACTATTCTTGTTTGTTGTTCATTATTTTTTTTTTTTTTGGATATAATGGCAAATAGTATGTGAAAATCATAAATAAATATGTATATAATATTAATATAATGATCCCAAAAATGAGAGGATATAATAACGGTTTTAAGAAAATGTTAAAAATACCAACTAATATATTACAGAAGAGAAATATTTCTAATGTAATACTATTCAGTTTATCTAAAATATTTATATTCATATTTTCTATAAGCAGTATTTCTAATAAATAACCCATGGCTATTGCAAATAAACAAACTGATGATGTAATAAAAATATAATTTGCATTGCATAGAATTCTAACACTATAAATCTCGAATGAATTAAGAATAAAATGAAAAGAATAAAATAAAAAGGACATTAAAAACAATTTGATATTAAAATATATATTATAATACTTTTTTTTAAATGAATATATATTATTTAAAAGATTAAAAATTGTATATAAAAAAGGGTGATAATATTTAAATTGTATATTTTCTTTTTTTGTGTTTTCTAAATTTAATTGTTTTTTTTTTTCTTCTCCTTTGTATATATTACACTTGCTTTCGTCCACACTTTCAGGAATAGTATCATTTAATATATATTGTCCTATAATGAATGAAAATAAAAATAAATTAACAGAACCAATAATATTAAACAGTCCTTCTTTATTTGATGAAAAAATATTGGTCCTTTCGCTTTCTAATAATAAATAATCATGAATGTTAAAATAATAAATAAATAATTCATAAAGGAAAATAGATATGCAGCTAAATACAAATATATTTCTGATTTTTTTTAAAATAACAAAAAAAAAGTTAGATATAACAAAAGTACTAAATAATGTTAAAAAAAAATTCCAATCCACTCCATACTCCGTTAGGTTATATTTATAATTAAATATTCTGATAGCTATAAGTCTAGAAATACCTAAAATAAACAATATTATATTCTTTAATTCAATTATTTTCTTATGATCCCTTATATATTCAAATTTTGTTTTTTTAAAAGAATAAGCACTTGAAATAATACAAGTGCCAATTCCTATATCCATCAAAGTATTGCCATAATAAGCTGACTTTGCAAAATGTTTTGGGAAAAAAAAAAAATCTACAGCAAATATACACATATAAGTTGCACACATATTCATTAACCTAAAATTAGTTAAAGATTTATAACAATATTTATTATTTTTTGTATCTTTCATCTTTTTAAAATATATATCTTTTATTTTAATCTTTTCTTTCTTTAAATAAAAGGCGAAAAATGATATATATAAAACAATATAAGTTGTTAATATTTTTAATGCACTAAAATAAAAATAAAAAAATAAGAAAAATATTAAAGGAATAAACACAATAAATATTGTTATAATAAGTTCATATTTCCTTAATGAAGGAAAAGTAATAAATAAACCTTTTTCTAAATATATGCATAACGAAAAAAACATTAAATACATATAAATATAATAACTATTTATTATTAACTCTTTACTATTATCTGTGCTATTTTTTAATAAAGTATAATCTTTATCATTTAATTTATATATACACCAATTTTTAAATAAATCAAAATAATTAGTAACATCATTTATTTTATTAACTATTATTTCTACTTTATTTGCTTCTTTTTCATAAAATAAATGCATTTTATCTTCTTTTATATGTACTTCTTTTAATTGGTAGCCATTATTGCTACTATTATTATTGTTCCAAATTAAATCATAGTTATTTGATTGTGTGTTTCTTATTTCTTTGTTATTTTTTAAAATTATATTATAATAAACTTTTGAAATTTCATATAAATATTCTTCATAATGTAAAGAATATTTTCCATTTTTTGTCTTATCACCATATATAAATAAATTCTTATTTTGAATTTTCATATTTACATCATGAAAATAACATGGCATATCTAAAATATATAACACATTAAGGGGACATATAAAAAGGTAAACAAATATATTAATATTAGTCATTTTTATTTTTAAATGATAAAAATTAATCTTTAAAAAAAAAAAAAAAAAAAAAAATATTAAACAAACAAATATTTAAATATATTAATTTTCACATATTTTATGAAATATCTTAAAAAAAATTCATAAATAAATAAATATCTAGTTAATTATTTATTACGTTTATATTTACGAATGAAATGAATTTTGTTATAAAAATAAAAAAAAAAAAAAAAAAAAAAAAAAAAT